CAACAAGTTATATAGTAAATTAATAATTACGTTATTAATACATTTTGATATAAAATATAAATGTGACAATAAAGCTTCTTTTCTGTAAGTATAATCTTTTTGCTTTCGTTTTTCTGAGTACGTAAATTGTATAATTCTCGTCGTCAATGTTCACTCGAAGAATTTAATTTCAAAACTGCAAATATAATTGCTAATTCGTGGGCATAGATCTCCCTTCTTTATGGCTATGTGGATTCTCACGTAATCCCATCGCGTGGTCTCGCAGGCTCTCTTCACCACATGCTACTGGTGGGTGAGATTCCGAAAGATCACGTGATGAGGTCACGTGAGATTCCACGTCAGAAAGAGGAAAGATCCATGTCCCACCAGTCTACGTTTTTTATCTTGTAATGACATAAAATGAAAAAGATACTTTGTTTGGCATGATGTAACCATGACATCTTTTAATCGGGAATTGTCATGTTTTTATAAAGTAATAATATGTAAATTATGTAACTAGTGCGACATACGACTCGCAAATAATAAGTGCACACATTAAGCAGCAAACGACATTGTCATGTCAATCGCTTTCAAAAATGCTTTTATAACGATTACCTTGCTACCTTTGCTAATGACTGTCTATTTTCACAAGTCTATGTTCACATTTCATATATAAGATATTTTATTATACCACAATAAAAAATGGTACATACATATATTAATTGCTATAAAATGGGAAGTACCACTTGAAACAATTAAAAGTTTTAATAACGAAAAAAAATCATACAATTTCATTAATAGTTACATTAGTTATGTTAATAATATAATAGCAATCATTGTAGAACGATATTATTCAGAATCAATTTAAGAAGGGATTGTAGCTCCCTTAGCTCTCCCTTTCCTCCTTAATGCAGACCTGACAATATATGAGGGCTGTGTTTCAAATTTATTGCCAGCACTGAAAATGCTACAGTTTACGTTACATGCATTATAGATTTTTAGTACTGGCAGTCAATTTTGGAACATAGCCCATATAATATGTTAATAATAGATATTTTAAAATATTACTGAACAAATATTAACAAATAATATTATTTTAAAGAACCTTTTGTATTGCATCACTTTATACTAATTTCATTAATTTCTTCTATGTATTTTCATACAAGAGATGTTTAAAAAATGATATTGCATGAGATATTTAAAACATTTTTTCATAGAAGTAAATTTATTACGATTTATGCACACCATACATATAGATAAGAAAATTATTTTAAATATTTATTCGTAGCTTAATATTGTTGCGAACATGCCGAACATACACATAGAAAAAATTTCCGTTTTAAAACATTTATATATGAGTAATTTTAAAAGCCATTTTTATTTTTTTATTAATATATTTTTTATTATACAACAAAATTATTTATTATATAGCATTTATTGATTACAGATTTCCATCGCAAGAATGTGTGGTGATCAGAAATTGTATCAAAATTAACATGTATGTTGTGATACTACCCACCATCTGAAAAATAATAATTTAAAGTATAAATAGTTCATCTTTTAATAGTTATAACAACAAATTGATCACTTACTGCTGCGACAAGCGTCGCGTCCACAGTGAGTCCTTTTGTCGAAAATGTATTTTTGCAATGCAGTATTTGCAAAGAAAAGAGTTGCAACTGCAACGTAAATCAAACAAAAAGAATTAAATACGAGAACGAAAAAAATGGTATCATAGTAAACATAATTTTAGTAGATTTAATAGTTAAAAAATCGCATGTTGATAAACACTATACATTAAAAAAAAATTACCTCATTTCTTATTTGCTTATCTCTTATGCTATTATGTATGTCGTAAATGATAGTACTGATCTTTTGGATTTCATTCTTGCCAGTCTCACAAGCCCAGACAATAAATATTACTTTTATAATATAATGCGTCATGGATGTCAAAAACGCATCAAGAAGGTGCCTGTCAAAAGTAATGAGTACTTCACCTTGCCAGCGCACTAAATAAAAATACAATTCAACGGTAATTTCAACGAAGGACAAGATTATAATAGCAAGAAATTGCAGGCAGAAGATTATGTTTAGCATTTGTACTGTTTTGGTTAATATCAAATATTGTTTCATCAGAGGTTTGAGTTCTGCCAAGAAAAATTGATTTTTCGACATTTGGCAAATTAAATTGGAAATAGGTAAGTTTTTATCGTTTATCATAAATGTATGCATGCGAATTAAATTGTCGTTGATTTGTTTGAAGCAGGCCTTTAATACGCAAATACAATTTACATGCAACATATTCATCTGAAACTCCAACAGAACCAAATATATTACAGTTGCCATGAATAAGGCAGTCCAATAATTCTTTTCAAATGGTTGCACTTTAATGAAATACATATATTCTTGCATAATGACACCGAAGATGTCCTTGATATGGATCCATCTTGATAATTCCTCATATGATTCCGTAGATAGTTTTGAAGAGATGTTTAAAATAGTCTGTAGCAAGTGCATTAGTGGTTTGCTCAAAATGTATGTGACAATCATCATAAAACCGCTGAGCGTAAAGAAACAGAAATATTCAAGAGTCCTAGTTAACGTCTCCAAAGGAAATCATTTTAGAAATTATAACCCTGTGAATGAGTAGCAAATAAAAAGTGCAGTAAATGCAGATAATCACGGTTGACATGATGTAGCATGGTTTTGAAATTTTGAAGGTCGACGCATTAATCTTATATGGAAATATTCCGAGAATTTTACTTATGATAAAGTTGGGATATATCAAGGATTGAAAATCCGTAGCACGAAACAGTTGCCATTTTTTCCTCATTTTGCCTTTGGCGCGTGTTTGGATTTTCCAATTGAACATAATTAGTAAATATTTTTGGAAGAGGAATAATTTATATTGTAATCCTAAGTGTTATTAATTAATACACTGAATGAATACACACTGAACTATTAGAATTAATATTGTTACAATAGCTTTCTGATTGAAATGTAATATTTAAGTTCTTTTCTTTATATTGTAATAAATGCATTAACTGTGATATGGACTCTTTATTTTGTATACACTTGATGAATTTCAATTTAAACTGCCAGCAAATACTTTAATAGAGAAACAAAGTTGAAGAAGCCGTTTGTTAGTAACAAAGTAACCATGGCGTTCTTCGATCGAAACTTTTCACGCTTGAAATAATTATATAAAACAATTACGTGAAATTATTATAATACATGACTCATAAATTTTATTGGATAAAACAGAATAATACATCTTGAATGATAATATAGCCTATTATAAAATAAAAAAAAACAATTCTTTCAAATAATTAGTTTATGTCACGCGGTAGGTATATATTGTGCAGACTCACAGACAAATCACATGTCACGACAAGTAACGAATTTTGTAAAAACGAAAAAAAAATGTAAAAATATGAAATTTTTGACGAAAAGATATTAAACTTATTGCAGCAAATGAAAATGGCCGAAACGATTAAAACATAATTTTGATTTCACATAAACAGTATATTTTTGAGTTATTAACACTTTCTACTTGGATTCTTGTCCATTAATTATTTTATTTTAACTGTTAAATGTGTATATATATATATATATATA